TGTCTTCTACCTCATTATGTGAAGACCAACCTGGGGCTATTTCACATTTTCCAAGACACCTCATTTACAACTTACTTCAGCTCCCATCTCTTATTAGAAGCCTCTTCTTAAGAGGTCTAAGCTAGAAGGAACCAGATGGCATCAAGCATACAATGGCTTAAATAAAACAGTTCAAAAATATTGAAAAGGAGTGATCACTTGGGACATCCTGCAATTAAAAAAAAAATTTATTTTAAAGATGTGGGGTACAATTCAGGGTTACATATACAAATGTTCATTATCATCCTGCAATTTTAAGAGGGAGAAATACCTAAGAACTTGCCAGAGCCCAAAGACCTAGAAAGGTAGGTCAGCCTAATGCAGTCTCCCCTGGACCTTCTCTAGCTTGGTAAGTTCCATGTTAACCAATTTGGTTTATCCTTTTGTGTCTAAGGTATGTTCCATTACTGCTATCTATGAAGGTGGAGAGAAACAGTTCGTCCAAGGTGTGCAGTGTGCATTTTTCTACCTATGAAATTTAGTTGTGAAAAAAATAAAATTGTACAAAGCCACAAATTACTTTTTAACTTACTGAAAACTTTCCAGATGTGCCTGTCTCCTAAGGAAATGCCCAGTCTCTGGGCTACAGGCCATTTAGCTTCCTTGGCAAACCTCATTCCCTTTTGATGGCTCCAAACTACTTAGGAAAACACTAAAAACAGCAAATACCTTTCTGTTACTTCTTTTTAAGCTGGGGTGAATTTTTTCCATCTATGCAAGGAGGCTGCTTGGGTCTGTTCTTCAGCTTTTAATCTTGTGATTAATCAGGAAAAGGTCATTGTGTCATTTTTTCTTTGTACTATGACTTGAAAACCCATTTTCATTTCATGCCATACGTCTGTCATCCTGAACTTGTGCTGAGAATAAGGCTCATTTTCCTCAAAGTCCGTGGAGCTGGGATGTACTGCTCTGTCCCTTTCATCTTTTCCTCTAGAGCCACCACGGCCCTCTCTCTTTAGTTCCTCAGGGTGAGAATTGGATTTAACAACTCTCCATCTCCTCTACACATACAGAATACAACAGAGTCCTCTAAACAACATCTTTATGCTGTATTTAAATTAAAGTCAACTCCATTTTCCTATTGATAATGCATTTCTATTGTCCCATCTCCAGTATAGCAGGGTGATGATTTAGTGGAACTTGAACTGATATAATTAATCCAAATTCTGTACCAGATTCCCAGGGATGTGGCTGTGTGGAATGAATCAAAGATAAAAAACAACATACTATATTCAAGTAAATTTTAGATGGCTATTCCTGAATAATTTGATAAGTTGTAAATGAGGTTGCCTTTGTCTGAATTGAGCATATTCTACCTCTCTTGGGAGATCCCATTTGCATTCCATATAGGCACCCAAAGGGCATTCTGTTCTTTGAAACATTAAGAGGAACAACCTCATTTTCCCTCCTCAACCTCCCTGCTCTGTCTACATTTTGAGACTTGAGCAACCATCTTAATGAATCTTTTCCAACTTCCTCTTGCTGATTCTTTATTTCAATGTGCATATTCAGTGGTTTGCTAAAAGGGTGCTTTGCAGTATTGGAAAAGCAATAATTACTTACCTCTGTTTCAGTATAATTTGCAAAGTATCCTCACATACAATGAACTCATTTAATCTCTTCAATGATGTTTTGAGAAAATAATTTTGTACCAATTTCAGAGATAAGAAAAAAAAAAAACCTAAAAAATGAAAGCATCAAGAAACTAAGCTCTTTTCCCAAGGGCATGTTACTCAATGGCTGAACTGGGATTTGAACTCAGGATATCTGACCACTGTTCCGATGCTCATGGACTAAGCAATTCTGTCTCTCCTTGATGTAGGAGACTGTAAGGAAACAACTTTCTGATGTTGCGTTCCAAGTCGTGGCCCCAGTAAAGAGGCATCTTCTGGTATAGCTCCGTGAGACCACTGAGAATTGGACAAGAAAGGCTCAAATTGTGCATTTCTTAAAAGTCTATGAGGCTAAAATGCTGGTGTCACTGTATACATCGGAAGAAAGGCTGGAAACAAGTCTCACTACAGTGCTGAGTTTTAGAAAACACCATGACAGGAAAGAGTTGGGCTCCATGGCTAAGAGTGTGTGCACACCAGATGTCAGAGGTCTTAGGTTTAGAACTAAGCTTCAGAACTGTTATCCATGAGACCTTAGGTAAGTTAATGACATTCTGTGTCTCTTGCTTTCTCCTCTGGAAAATAACAGTAGGTACTTACCTTATAGAGACATTGTGGAGTTACATAAGACATGACAATATAGTGATACAACAGTCTTGAAGATGATAAAATAAGAAAATAAAATATAATTGATATATTTATGCATTAATATATTGATACATTTATAAAGCTTGTTACCTTTTATACATTGATAAAGCATTTTAATCTTCACATCAACCTTGTAAATAATAATCTAATCATCCTAATTTTATAGATTTGAAATTAAAATTAACCAAGATAAGTTTATAGGTTTGCCTTAGGTTGTGGTAGGACCCAGCACCAAAGCATGGTTTTCTGACTAAGAATATATTCTTTAGGCTACATCACATACCCCAGGGCATAATTAGGCACATTATTCCCAGAGGACTGGTTGAGAGAGACAGGGCTCATGCTTAATAATGAAAACACAAAATACATCATGAAATGGACAGAGCAGGGCCCCGATTTGATAACACAATGATAACATGGTAGTTCAATGTGGTTATCACTGAGGTATTTCACAGAAAATGATGGAAAAATAAAGCAGGACCCTTAATCCATTCTAAGGATAGACTTACAGAGGGAATGGAGGATGAGGGTGCTTTCTGGAGACTTCACTGAGCTAAGTGATGAAAGATAAGTCGGAATTAGCCACACAAAGGCATAAGGGCTCTAACTCAATTATTTCTATCCCCCAGGTTGCATTTTCCTATGACTCTAGATAGAAGCTTGTTGGGGTGGGGTCTTTAAGTGTGGATAAATCCAGATGTTTTCCCTTCTGCAAAGTCACCTGATGCCAGAACATTGCCTTAATCAGCTTCCTTCCAACTGTAGCTGCAGTCTTGCCCCAAGCAGAATAAAGAGTCAGGTTTCATGTACTGTCCCATTCACAAAATAGAGGACACTTTGTGACAACACAGGAACAGGGACTAGAAGAGCTTCACACAAAGGCAATGGCATGAAATTGGAGCTGCCAGAAATATTTGCTAGTGAGAAGCCCTTGGCGTTCTCTTGGATCAAGGGTGTATAAGCAGCCCGTGCAATGCTGGATGTGGCCTCTTCCCTTCAAGACCCTGTGTAGGAGAGAAAATCAACAGTGATCATTCTCAGAAAACCTATCTCATTTCCCAAACTTTAATTTGAAAGATTTGATTTTTTTTAACTTTCCTCAAGAATTTGGATGAGGAGAGAGTAGGGGATAGGGGGATTTTATTCTCTCCACTTTAATCAGGTTTTAATCACTTTTTTATACAATTAAATTAAGGTATTAAAACAAGGGGACTAAAAAAATCAACGATCTCATTTCAGAGATTCTTCCTACAGACATTACCATAAGAAAATGATACAACACAATTTCCCCCACTCTTCCTCTCCCAGCTCTCTTTCTGCAACCCTCCCCATCCCATGGATGGAGAGGAGAGAACTGGACCAGAAAATTATTATGAGGAGCTTTCTTCTGAAAAGCAATAAAATGAAACCAAGGCAAACATTCATTTCTTTTTCCAATTACACTGTCATGTGGATAT